ATCTCTGCCTACTGCAGGCTTCTAACTCTTCTCAAACATCCAGTTCTGGCCACTGTCAGAGACAGGATACTGGACTAGATGGGTCTGTTCTAGTACGGCAATTCCTGACTATGTAAAGCAACCTTTCCATCCTCTAAGTTTTGGGCCCTCCGCGTCTTATTGTAGAAGGTGGGTTGATTTAAAATCATTCATTTTGAATCTTGTTTTGCCCCCCCTTTTTTTTTAAGTCTCCCCCCCCCCCAAAGATAAAAGTGATTCTCATGAGTTGGTGTAATCTGATATTTCTTTTTGCTAAGAAGGAGGGTACACTACGCCTATACACATTTAAGACATTATATAGCTTAACATACTTTTTTTCAAATCTATAACATACATTTTGTTGATATAAAATGGTGAATAGTTCATATTTACCAGACTATAATTGTTACTTATGATTTGTATCAAGTTGCAGTTAGATGAAAACTGAAATTCAATTAAATGCACAAAGCCAGCATTTTAAATTTGCTTAAGTAAATATAACTACCTTACATATGCTGGATTCAGAAGAAAAAAGTAAGTTTATCAAAACAGGCTGTGTGTTTAACACTGATTTATTAAACAAAGGAAGGTTTCAGAGTAGCAGCCGTGTTCGTCTGTATTCGCAAAAAGAAAAGGAGTACTTGTGGCACCTTAGAGACTAACCAATTTATTTGAGCATGAGCTTTCGTTGCATCCGATGAAGTGAGCTGTAGCTCACGAAAGCTCATGCTCAAATAAATTGGTTAGTCTCTAAGGTGCCACAAGTACTCCTTTTCTTTTTGTGAACTTTCAATATGTTTCTCAGCTTTGAATTAACTAGCTGGATAAACTGAAATGAAGAAAATACCCTCATCTGCACCTGCAGATGAGGCTACGACTATCAACAGGTCATCAACAGACACTGGCTACAGTTTAGCTAGCAACTCCCACCCATTCAATGGCAAGGGCACCAATTAGCGAGTTTCATATACAGGACTAGAGGTAGGCTCTCAGGCAGAATGCTTAACTGTACAGCATTAGTGTGGAATGTGAGTTCTGCAGAGAGATGCTTCTCCCAGCTTGTGCCCCGGGGCAGGGAGTCAGAGTGATGGGTCGTCCAGCTTTCATCCAGATCACACCATGCCATCCATTGTCTACAGCCAAGCTCTAGGATACAACCACATTTGCTCCAACCCCTCAGACGGAGGCAAACACCTATCAAGCATTCTTACAACTACAATACCCACCCGCTGAAGTGAAGAAACAGATTGACAGAGCCAAAAGAGTACCCAGAAGTCACCTACTACAGGACAGGCCAACAAAGAAAATAACAGAACACCACTAGCCATCACCTTCAGCCCCCAACTAAAACCTCTCCAACGCATCATCAAGGATCTACAACTTATCCTGAAGGACGACCCATCACTCTCACGGATCTTGGGAGACAGGCCAGTCCTTGCTTACAGACAGCCCCCCAACCTGAAGCAAAATACTCACCAGCAACCACACACCACACACACAACAGAACCACTAATCCAGGAACCTATCCTTGCAACAAAACCCGTTGCCAACTGTGTCCACATATCTATTCAGGGGACACCACCATAGGGCCTAATCACATCAGCCACACTATCAGAGGCTCGTTCACCTGTACATCTACCTATGTGATATATGCATCATGTGCCAACAATGCCCCTCTGCCATATACATTGGTCAAACTGGACAGTCTCTACATAAAAGAATAAATGGACACAAATCAGACGTCAAGAATTATAACATTCAAAAACCAGTTGGAGAACACTTCAGTCTATTTGGTCACGCAATTACAGACCTAAAAGTTGCAATCGTTAACAAAAAAACTTCAAAAACAGACTCCAACGAGAGACTGCTGAACTGGAATTAATTTGCAAACTGGATACAATCAACTTCGGCTTAAATAAAGACTGGGAGTGGATGGGTCATTACACAAAGTAAAACCATTTCCCCATGTCTATTTCCACCCCCCCCACCCACTGTTCCTCAGACATTCTTGTCAACTGCTGGTAATGGCCCACCTTGATTATCACTACAAAAGGTCCCCCCCCCCCCGCTGGTAATAGCTCACCTTAAGTGATCACTCTGGTTACAATGTGTATGGTAACACCCACTGTTTCATGTTCTCTATGTATATAAATCTCCCCACTGTAGTTTCCACTGAATGCATCCGATGAAGTGAGCTGTAGCTCACGAAAGCTTATGCTCAAATAAATTGGTTAGTCTCTAAGGTGCCACAAGTACTCCTTTTCTTTTTGTAAAAACCAGGAATCCCTGGGGGAGGAGGGAGGTATTGAAGAGACAACGCAGGGGACTCAGAAGACATACAGCTAAGCCCTCTGAGCCAAGTTTATATTCAGAAAAGAGGGAGATGAGGGAGCAGGAGTGAAAAGAAGGAGCCAAAACCCAGGGGAGGGATAGCAGTAGTAGAGTGGGAACTTCTCTATACCTGTGGTACCCCATCACCGTAGTCGGAGTACCTTAGATCACAGCCCCACGGTGAAGTAGAGCAGTGCTGTTATCCTCATTGTATAGATGGGGCACTGATGGGGACACAGGCTAAAGGACAGATTTTCAGGCACCTAGTGGGATTTTCAGAAGTGCCTAGAAGGTTAGGTGCTTTGTAAACCCCACTAGATGCCTCTTTGGGTGCCTAAAAACCTTTGAAACTCTGTCTCTAAGGCATTGACCTGAGGTCATATAGAACGAAGAACAGAAGTTGTATACACAGAGTCCATAAAGTGAACAAATTATTGTTATGATTTGTATTATTCACTGGGCACTATCTGTGTGCTCAGCACTGTTCAGAATATGCCAGTAAATGTAGTTCCGGAGCCAATGCATACAAGATGTGTAACTCTGGATAAGATGGCTCAGATATATAAATATTAAGTGTATAGTTCTTGACCACATATTATCACAGTGAACATGTGATAACATATCTATGAGTGAAGGCGCTGATGGCGATAAAAGTTTTACTTGATTAAGGACTAGAAGATTTGACCCTCCAACTTTCTTTCAAGAGGAAAAGCTGCCCAGAGCTCTTGTGCCTGTTATTTTCCTTTCCTGCCTGCAGTGGCCCTGATATACCTCAGAACTCTCAATTTTTCCCCCCTCAACTTTAAAACATGAAATTTTGTAGGTGTTTGGTTTAAAATATTCTCCTGTGAAAACTGCAGCTCAATCACTGTAGTGTTATGTTTAAGGCCCTTCTGGAAAGGGACTAGCCTTTAAACAGAAGTGAAAATAGTGTTACTAACTCTCATGATTTTGTCATGAGTCTCATGATTTTTGTGTTTTGCTTAAAGCCCCAACTCCTGGAGTCAAGTGGCTGTGTGATGATTTCAGCCCTCATTCTTAAAGAAAAATGAAGTTTCTAGCCCTTGTGGCTGTGGAGAAAGCATCAAAATGTGACCCCAGGGCACCCTAAAGGCTTAAAAAGCAGAACGTAAATAAAAACATTATTTTTACATAATCTCATTCTTTTAAAGCCAATCTCATGATTTTTGGTGAGCCTGATTCATAGTATTGCCAACCCCAAATATTCAAAAATCATGAAAGACTACGTGTGAGTTTCACTCCTGTTTAAAGTCTGTTTCTAGTCTATTTGTAGTGAGGTAAAACCCCTACAGTCCCAGGCAGGAGCAGTATAAACTCATGGGAACATGCCCTAGCAGGATGTTTCCAGAAGTTAAATGAGCTATTCCAAGCTTGATGAACTGCAAAAAGAGTCATACAAAGTAACCTAGATTTGTCTACAATTGTTACATTCAAGAGTTAGTAACAAAGTAAGACTATACATTACATTTTTAAACCTAACCAGTGTCCCTTAAGTGAATGGACAGAATATTATTAGAGCTGAGTGGATCGAATATTTATTTATTTAATTTTCTATTTCTTTCTTTATATAGGAATTAGAAATTATCTGACAGGAGCACTGCATCTAAGTTATCTGCAAAAAAACGAGTTTTCAGGTGCCCAAGTAGCCTCTGGAATCATAGTTAAAGTTGTGCACTCTCCCCCACCAAAATCTGAAATGGTGCCTCTGTTCAAGGATTTCACAGAATCTCAGAAATGTAGGGCTGGAAGGGACCTCGTGAGGGCATCAGTCCAGTGTTTCTCAACCAGGGTCTCGGGCCCTGTGGGGAGTAGGTTTCAGGGAGTCCACCAAGCAGGACCAGCGTTAGACTACCTAGGGCCCAGGGCAGAGAGCCTAAGCCCTGCCATGCCCTGGGCCCCTGCCACCCGTGGCTGAAGCAAGAAGCCTGAGCAACTTAGCTTTGTGGGGGCACCCTGTGGTTTGGGGGCCCAGGCAATTGCTCCGGTTGCTACTCCTTAACCCCAGCCCTGGCTTTTATATGCAGAAAACGGTTGTTGTGGCACAGGTGGGTGGTGGAGTTTTTAATAGCATGGGGGAAGGGGGGCGGGAGCACCTCAGAAAGAAAGGCTGAGAACCCCTGGTCTAGTCCATCTGACTTTCTTTAAAACTTCGGCAGCAAACATGCACTGCTTACCATTATTTGTTACTTAACTTTAAATCAACGGATTATACTTGGGCCTTAATATAGGATCATAATTTCAAATATTTGTATTTTAAAAAAGAAATATATTTAAACGAAAAAAAGGCCTGATTTTTATGTATATAAATAATCGATTTTTATCCACCCTTGTTCAGTGCAACCACAGGCGTTCATTAGTTACATGCCAAACCAGCCTAGAGTACAGTATCAGGAGTGCAAGGCACAAACCACCAGGCCCTCTGCCTGTGTTGCCAGAGATCCCCTGCCCCCCCCCCCCCATCACTTTGCACCCTGGTGCCTAACCGACCCCGTCCCTCCACTATTGCTCCTGGTACCAGCCCCCTGCTTCTTTCCCCTCCCCCTCTTTGCACCTTAGTGCCTGTCCCCCTACTCCCTCCCCCAGTGTTGCCCCCGGTGCCAGCCTCCTCCCTTCCCCTCCTTTACACTCACCGGACTCCAAAGTTGCACTTGCCCATGAGGTTGAGCTTGCAGAAGTGGAGGCGCTCGCAGCCCTCACACTCCTTGCGGACGCAGAGGCGCAGCGGCGACACAGCCAGCACCCAGCGGGAGCCCCCCCTCCTTGTGCACCAGAAACCTCTCGTGCCCCACATCCTGCAGGATCTGCGCCAGCTGCTGCTCGGAGAGGTCCACGTGCTGGGGGATCTTGCTGTGCTCCAGCCGCCCCCCGTTAGAACACAGCACCTTGGTAATGAAGCTGCAGACCGCGGGGTCAGACATGTTTGCTCTCGAGCCCAGGGGGTTACTGGCTAGGCAGCCTAACACGGCTGCTACTCTAAAACCGGACTAGGCAGCCTCTCCGTCCGCTCGCTCGGTTTCGTGGGCGGATCAGGCTCCTCCTCCCATCCAGCTGGAAAGAAGAATCGAAACTGAAGGCAGAAAAAGCATGCCTTTGAGTGACGGGCGGCAGGGCAGTGGTTTAAGGCAGCAAATTAAAAAGTGATAGCATGCAAAATATGTAGGAAGAGTGAAGGGCATTTTTATACCCAGTCTATTTCCTTTTGAAATGTGGGTGCCTTTGCCCTTTTCTGTGACGTGCGTTTATTCATTCCCACTTGTAGAATTGCAGTCGAGAAGGGGAAAAGACATCTTCTCCTTTACAGAATAAAGTTATCCTGGATCTAAAGCTAAGGGATACAAGTTGCAAACTAGAAAGATGTTATTATCTTGACCATACAGTGTAGGAGGAGCAGCAGAAGGCCATTTAAACTGGGAGGGTCAGTTTTGCCCTTTCTGCCTGACCCTCCTCTTCCCCTCTCTGGCACCAACCACCACCAGCAGCAGCCTGACCCTCCTGGCCCATGCACCCTTACACCCATCCCTTCTGAATGTTAATGAGTGGCATTGCAACCGTGGGGGCATGGCCAGAAAATAATCAGCGCCACGCCCTGGGTGGACCCTGGCCGTACAGCCTCTGCAGTGAAGATTAGGATAAACATGTTTATATGCAGGTAATGGGTGTGGTAAGAGGAGGCCCTGAAACATAAGCCCTTGTATCAGAGGCCTGGTATGAGACCCAAGCCCTGAACTAAAGTAATGGTCAAGACTTTGCTAGCATAAATCAAAGTTAAGCTGTGCGCCAGAGGGAGGCCCTGCTCACAGAAGCTGGCAAGGCGGCTGACATTGCAATTATACACATACCCAAAAACAGGTACTACGCACTAGTAATATAAACATGTGCCAGGAATGGTACTGGAACATTTTGATACAAGCACATTCCACATAGATAACAAGGAACAGACTGACCCATCCTAAAGATTGCAGCAGGAGGGTAATATGAGAGAGTTGTTTTGTTTGAACCAACATGTACAAGGTGAGAGGTGGTACCCTAACATGTAGAGGGGTTGCATCTCTATAGGTCAGAAGCAACGTGTAACTTGGTTGTACATGTGTATAAAAGCGTACCCTTGAAGAGTGGTCTTTGACTGGCCTAGGGGGCAGTGGTAAGTCCTGCCAATGACTGAGCTGGTCCGTTGTCAGGGAGCACATATGTACTAGCAGAACTGTAGTTATCTGATCTGGGGAGCTAGAGACTGTTTTGCTTGGCAGTAAGCCTGGCCGGGTGCCTTCGTACCTTATCAGAGTCTGTGGTCATTGGGGATTCTCTCGGGGTCTGCTGTGTCAGTGATCTGCAGAGCTGGGGCAGCATATAGATGGAACACATGCATGCAGCCGATTGTTATCAACATAGAACAGAGCTGAGCACAACACTGGTGACGTTTGATGACAATAGGTGAAAGCTCAAAATAAATGTAAAAATGCTATTAGTCCTGAGATGGTTTTTTGAGCCAGTATAATATAACCAGCAAGAGCTATAGCACACATGACTTGTGGGCTGCATGTATAAGAGTAAAACCAAAAAAAATTAAAAAAAACCAAAAAACCAACCCCCCCCCTCAAGCTTCAAATGCATCACTGAAGTCAATGGTGTTACATTAGATGAATATATCTTTCCAAATCCACAATCCCCGGCTAGACAAATGATTGTGATGGACTCTCAGTGGACACTAAGTCAGAAATTTCCCCCAGGTTGTGTGCACGCATGTGCGTTTCAAAGCTATAACTTAAATAAGAAGGAAGAAAAGAGTGCTACCATTCTGAAATATTGTTTATGTAGGACCTACACATTGTGTCCTTGCCATTCCTTCTGCTAGCCATGAAAGCAGCAGCTAATTAATACAATCTATGTGCGAAGCTGTGCTGATATAATAAACGATTGCGCAGAACCAAGCAAGTAAATAAGTTTTGTTAATTTCCAATGAGGTTTGTTTGTGGGGGGAAAAAAGAGAGGTGGGAAGGTAAACACACATTGAGGAGAAAAGTCAGTTGTGGTTAAACTGAAAATTTAGAGTAAATCCATAAAGGAAGAAATTTAAATGTTAAACATTTAAACAATGCAGAGTTAGAAGATTAAACTAATGAAGTTAACTTGTCGTTTAGTATTAGGAAGTTACACACAAATACTGAGGGCATGTCTTCACTGCAGCAGCACTTTAATGTGGCTGTGTAGTCACGGCACCGGTGCTGGGAGCTATAGAAGCTCCCACCTCCACGAGGGGAGTAGCTCCCAGCACTGGTGCATTGTCTACACTGCCACTTTACAGTGCTGAAACTTGCAGCGCTCAGGGGGGGTGTTTTTTCACACCCCTGAGCGAGAAAGTTGAAGCGCTGTAAAGTGGCAGTGACAAGGCCTAAGCCACTTGTACTATTTGATGAAAACCAATTAACTTATGTGGCATGTGAACCTGCTCTAATCTCCTTTTCTTTGTAAACCATTACAACGCAAATCACAGTAACTAAAGTTTGTTTTTGTTTGTTTGTTCATATTACAGCTGAAAGTTAAACAGGGACTTCATTGCATGCATTTCTGGAATGTAACCCAACCCTGAACATATGTTTTCAGGGTGATCCATAATTCACTGCTGCAGTTTCAACAAACTCAGTGGTCCAGTGAGAATACTAATATTTTGCAATGTCTTCACACCACTCCTCTTCTTACAGGTTACCATCATGTCTGTGGCTGCTTGAGCAGCAAATGCCTAGAGCTTGGCCCATTGCCGTGCCACACAAAACTGAAGAAATTAAAGACTTCCTGCTCACAGCCAGGAGGAAGGTTCCAAAATCTGTTAAGATCAAGAATCAAAAGACCATGAAATTCAAGGTGTGCTGAAGCCAGTACCTACCTATACCAGGGGTCGGCAACCTTTCAGAAGTGGAGTGCTGAGTCTTCATTTATTCACTCTAATTTAAGGTTTCATGTGCCAGTAATACATTTTAACGTTTTTAGAAGGTCTCTCTCTAAGTCTATATTGTATAACTAAACTATTGTATGTAAAGTAAACAAGGTTTTTAAAATGTTTAAGAAGCTTCATTTAAAATTAAATTAAAATGCAGATCCTGGGGTGCACACACCCCTGGGGGGTGCAAAATGCCCCTTCTGGGGGTGAGACGTGAGACTTTACGAAGGTAAATCATCAAACACACTCAAAATTAAGCACAGGCACATAAGCACAACTACTTTCATCAAACCTATGTATTTATTAACATTATATACATTATTACTGTAATATACAAAGTTTTTAAGCTAATTGTAGTGTAATTTTTGATAAGGGCTGTAGAGCACTGGGCTGGCTGCCAGTACCCCAAGCTGGCAGGAGGCTGACCAGAGCCGGAGGCCCAGACCCTGGCTGGCATGGGGACTGGCAGCTGGAACCCCAGACTAGCAGCGAGGTGAGTGGAGCCCATGCTGGTCCCAGGCCAGCAGCAGGCTGAGCAGGGCTGATGGCCCGGACCCCAGCTGGCAAGGGGCCGACGGCTGGAACCCCAGACCATCAGCAGGCTGAGCGGGGTGGCAGACAGAACCCCAGACCGGCAGCAGCTCACCCGCTGCTGGTCTGGGGTTCCGCCAGCTCCTGCCAGCTGGGGTCCCAGCTGCCAGCCCTGCTCAGCCCCCTGGGGGTTCTATTTACCCAGGCAGGCAGCTGGCTGAGCAGGACTGGCAGCCAGGACCCCGGCTGGCAGCAGCATGCCAGTAAAAATCTGCTCATGTGCTGCTTTTGGCACACGTGCTGCAGGTTGCTGATCGCTGACCTATACACTTTGCTCATCACAGATAAGGAGAAGGCTGAGAAACTGAAGGCATCCCAGCCACCTGGTTTGACTGTGGAAGAACTGAAATGAACCAGTCATGCACAGAGCTTTTTTCATGTATTATAATAAAAAAAGAGGGAACTCTTTTTTTGTTTTTTAAAAAAACACCGAACAGAAGCTTCAATGTAGACAGAGCACTGGAGATTGTACCATAGCAATATTGCCAAGCCAAGAGATGACCTGTACCTGCCAATAGTGGGATGGGGGAGAGGAGGGATGCAGAGTGAGGGAAGCCAACTTCAGCAGTGTTACTGAGCATGCTCGTTGACCCTCCATGCAACACCTCTGGCAAAGCCCAAATGTTAACACACAAAAAAACACACCATAAGAGACAAGGTTGATGAGGTAATATCTGTTATACCACAATGGCTAAAGAACAGAGTAAAAGGAGCAGTTAGAGGCAAAAATACATTCTTTAAAATCTGGAAGTCAAATGCTACTGACGAAATAGAAAAGAGCATTAATTCTGGCAAGTGAAGTGTAAAGGTATAATTAGGCAGGCCAAAAAAAGGAATTTGAAGGGCAACGAGCAAGACTCTCAAACTAACAGCAAAAAATTAAGTAGATCAGAAGGAAATCTGCTAAACAATCAGTGGAGTCATTGGATGATCGAGGTGCTAAAGGAGCACTCAAGGAAGAGTAGGCCATTGTGGAGAAGCTAAATGAATTCTTTGTATCAGTATTCACTGCAGAGGATGTGGGAGATTCCCACACCAGAATCATTCTTTTTAGAAGGCAAATCTGAGGAACTGTGCCAGATTGATGTGTCAATAGAGGAATTTTTGGAACAATCGATAAAACAGTAATAAGTCACCAGAACCAGATGGTATTCACCCAAGAGTTCTGACAGAACTCAAATATGAAATTGCAGAACTATTAATTGTGGTATGTAACATCACTTAAATAAGCTTCTGTACCAGATGACTAGAGAATAGCTACTTTTTTTTTTAAAACCTAAGGCTCCAAAGATGATCCTGGAAATTACAGGCCAGTAAGCTTAACATCAGTACCATGCAAATTGTAAAGAGAATTCTCAGAGACAGATTAATATGATTTACTGGGGAAGAATCAACATGGCTGAAGAGCCAAAATCCCAATAATATTTACAGACGCTCCCCAACTTACGCAAGCATTCTGCTCCAGAACACCTTGCGTAACTCAGATTTTGCAAGAGTCGGAAACGTATCTGACCATTATGCCAAAAAAAATCCCCACACCCATCCTATTTCTAGCTTATGGAACTTTTTCTGTAAGTGCAGATTTGTGTAAGTCGGGTTTGCATAACTTGGGGAGTGACTGTATGCGAGATCTTGACCACTGAGTCTATTAAGAATCTTTCACATAAGCCCAAACTCCACGGCCTGCGGCATGAGGCCTGATTAACAATGGACAATACATGGCTAAAGAAAAGCTGGGATAAGCAGGAAGCAACTTTGTTTGTTCAACTATACATAAAATAAGCTGAGACAGCATAACTCCAGGTGGAGAGCAGTAATTGGGAGGCTTATCGTGAGTTATAGACACAGAACTCGCTGAGAGGGGCATTGAAGTCTGCTCCCTGGTTCAGGAGGAGATAACTGTACATACTCCCCGAATGCTAATCAGGGTTTAGGGAGAGGCCTAACATGACGTCATGAGTTACGGCATCCGTCTCTCACAGATGCCAATCCTAGTTCGCAGAAATGCATTGGTAAATCATACATGATTGTCATTGCTGTGTACTTTTACTGTTCTTTTTGCTTTAAGACCCTCCAAGAATGTAGCTGTGGGCGAACCTGTCTGGAAAGAGCCACTGTCATTTCTATGGACCTGAAATCAGGATATAACTTACACATTGCAAGAGGAGAATTTTGAGGGATAACCCCTGTGTATTCGCTAACATGTTAACCTGAGCTATGGGCGGAGCCATTATGGAATCTTTTAGACTATTGGCTTGTTGTGCTAATTTTGTCTTGCTGCTAGAACCTATCCAGGGTCCCAGGAATTCCCACCCAGTCACTTCTCTCCACCCACTGGCACCCTATCATAAATCAATTGTTTAGCAGCATCTCACTGAGCCTAATAAGCGAAGGGACACTCTGCCAGCACTGTGCGTAATAAACCCTCGTGCTTGACTCTACATGATGTCGAACTTCTGTTCCTTCAATGCCTGTGACATATCAGGTTACAATCCAGACTTATGAGCAGCTGTCTCACGCTTGCCCTGCAACATTGGGTGCTTTGCATTGCCTTGCTGAAGGAGTTCCCACCTGGGCTCCTCACAAACAGCCTTCCAGCCACACATGAGTGTTTGTGTGCAATTGCAGCCTGCCAGCCACACTTGGATCACACTCTGGCTCTCACCAGCCTTGGTTATACTACAAGGTGACCCCAACACACCCCCAATCTTAGATTTCCCCCCAGACATGTATGTCCTATATTGCCCAACTTTCTTCTTGACAATACAGATCATATAAAGTCCATTATTTCTTAGAATAGAAATAATATGCACTCAAGTTGCCACCCCAAATAGTGTTTCCCAGACACTTTATTTTATCTAATCCAGTGTGTTTAAATTAAAGTACAGTTAAAAATCTCTTTGTAGTTAATAAGTGAGTACAAGTAATGAGGCATAAAAGTCAGAAATGATTACATGAAACACAGCTAGCATGTAACTCAAATTGTGTTAAATTCGAAGTAAAGTTTTCTCACTTTCAGTGGTCTTACTGACCAAGCTCCTTAGGTCAGGACCCTCTCTCCCCCCATTCCCATCACACTGGTGGCACCTAAAGCAACAAGGGAAGTACTTGTTGGATACTGGGAGAAAGGTTCCTGAGCTAAGAAGCTTGGTCATCAGTTTATCAAGACTACCCCCAACTGGAGCTGAATTATCTGTACTCTCCAAGGGACTGGTCTTCTGTGCCCCAACAGAACCTTATACCATACTAACACGTGGAGAACTACAAGAAATCTTTCACAACAATGTCGTCACCCACGATTACCATGTTCCCACCAACAGTCATAGGAAAAAAGAATCTGACTGGACATCAAAAACCACACTCTTGATCATAACACTGATGGACTGTGAAATCCTGAAACATCACATCTACCACAATCTCCCCACTGCTGAGAGGACAGCTATGCAGAAAATTCTACCACCAGATGCTGATCAAATTAGCAGACAAAGGGGAGGACCCCCAATCATAGTCTCCAACTGCGATGAGTACATTAGCTAGGCCACAGGGCCCTCCTTAGTATTTATGGGGCCCTACGCAGTATTAAACTGGTGCTCCTATGCCCAACGGCAGCCTGGGCTCGCAACCTGGGGTGGAGGGGGGAGGCAGCAAAGGATACCGAGACATCTGGCCTGCTTCATGGTGGCGGTAAGTCACAGTTCCCCGCAGAGACCCCAGTACCCTCTCTCTCACGCAGAATGCGCGGCACTGGTATATTCAGCTCTGTGAATATGGCCCCTGCCTAAGGGGACTGTAGTGTGCACTAGGTGTACAGGACTCAACTTGCTTTTACCTGGTGGCATGGGCAGTGGGTGAAGCTGCCACATGGGGAGGCTAGCTCCCCAGCCCACCTCTGCCTGTAGTCCCACCCATACTCCACTCCTGCTCTGCCCCAGGCCCCGCCTGCTCTGCCCCAGGCCCTGCCCTCTCCCTATTGTCCCCCTATTCTCTTCCCTCCCCCACCCTGCTCACCCTCTTCCAGCCAAATCCCTGAACCCAAATGAAGCAGATAGCATTTGGAGAAAAAAACAAAACATTTTCTTTAAAAAGAAATTGCAGAAGAGGTGTTTTTTTGTAGTATGTTTTCCATTGCATGCCAGATGTATGTATATGTGTGTGTGTATATATATATACACACACACACACACCCCTGTGGGTTGGCAAAGGCCTGTTAAATGGCTTCATTACCACTTGAATGGCTCTTTAACAGTTTCAGTGTTCTGCTCATAGGTCTGGAGGGCTGAAGGCTTTTTCACTTTTAAGTTACTAGATCCCCTCTGGAGTAAGAGTCATCAGGCTGCAGCAGCTAACTGTGGGAACCAGCAGGAAGGGTCAGAACAGGGAGAGGAAGAGCCAGGAGAGTAGACACGCGTATGCTGTGTTTGTCAAGGATGGCCCTGCCAGGCCAACCAACAACTCTCCATGACCTCCAACTATAAAGAACTCAAAGAAGATCCCGTACTACAATTTATCCAGGAAGTTAAGGATATCAAAATCCTTCCTCAAACAACTCAGAGAAACTCTACAACCTCATCCCCCATGAATCTACCTCAGGGACCTTCTACATGCTTCCCAAAATACACAAACAAGGGAAACCCAGGCAGAGCCATTATATCTGACCACAGCACTCTTATTGGAGGAATATCAGGACTCATAGAAACCATGCGTAGGAGGTTGGGAAACCAGAAGTGTCTGGGAGAGAAGGGGGAAAAAAAAAATCAAGATGACCCTTACTCTGTCCTGGCAGATTCTATACAGAAATCATGGCAGGAGTGGTAGTGGAGGAAAGGCATAGTTGAATCGGTCTGACCAAGTAAGAAGCAAAACCTTGCCCTGGGCGTGGTGAGCTAGGGCTGTCTGAAGCAATACATGATGCATTTTCTGTTTGCTTAGAGGCAAATAGATCGCTGGTTGGGATTCCCCATAGAGTACACAGTCATGGAGCTCCCACTTGTGGTTGACTGAGAAATATCGGAGAGAATCTGTGAGCACATTTTGCTTCCTCAGGAGATAGGCTGTGGATAGGGTGATTTGATTGCTGATACACCAGCTCCAGAGGCTGACTGCTTCTGCACACAGAGAGGCAGATCGTGCTCCCACTTGCTTTGTTGGTGTCAAAGACAGTTATAATGTCAGACAACGTTACAAGGACACAGTGAATACAGAAGAATGGAAGAAAGGACTTGCATGGCTTCTGTACTTTTCGCAACTCCAGGATATTGATGTGCATTCTGGCCTCTCGAGATGTCCATGCATCTTGTGCTATGTGGCTGTTCGTGTGGGCTCCACAACCGAATACAGATGTGTCCATAAAGG